AAGCTCTATTATTTCAAGTATATATTTTCAATCAAATGGTTGAAATTATGTAATAAGTAAACCAAGAAAACATTATCAACCAATCATATTTCAATGTTTTATTAAAAAAGGGAAAAATATATATATTGGTGTTGGATCTTGAATAAGGCTGGCATGTGCCATGTTTTTCCACATATCTACAAAGACATAGGTCCTACCCTCCCACCATTATTCAACAATCAATATGTTGTGCGTACCATCATAAAATTCAAAATATGTATATATTTATTGCATCAAAGCGCGTTATGTTTTTGTAACTCTAATATTCCATAATCAATATCAATTAAATTACCTAAGCTTTGAAAATATTATATACATTTATAAATTATTTTCTAATGTTGTTCTTTTCAATAGCCTTTTTAGTGATTGTATTATAGCTTCACAAAATAAAGAATACTTATATTTTCTCTCTCTCTGCTAATTTTATATTTATTAGTGGGACAAATAATAATTGTTTGCAAAACTATTGGAGATATATAAATACGAATAAGAAAAATTAAATAATAGGATGATATTCCATTTGGATAAGAGTGTCGGTGGATTCGGTTTCGGCCCAACTTTCTTTTTTCTTTTTTCTTTTTTTATACTTTGGAGTGACGAATATATTTCATCATTGTTTTGTAATGAAACACTTAATAAAATGGAGCAATTAAAGTCAGAATTATTAAGTCATTAATGTGAGTCTCTCCATCTTTATTATAGTTTTAATTTCGCCTAACAAGCTTAGATTTAGATTATTATGCTATTATATATGGAGAGATTTTCCCCTTGGCTTTTAGGCTTTATTTAAAAGAATCTATATATAAATATAAATATGGAACAACTCCCTTTGCCCACCGCACCACAAAGAATGTCATCTTTAATTTTTTACGTTTATTACAATTTTTTTTTTCTTTTACAAAAGATTATTTTAAACATTTTCTTCGACCAACAAAAAAGAATAAAAATGATTCTTTAAAGTTATAGTTAAAAAATATTTAAAATAGTGCTTAAGTGAAAACATTTTATTTTGAATTCTGATTGAGAAAGAATTCTAACTTTGATCTCTGGCTTAAAGGTTGGGAAGATGGAGTATTTTGATAAGAAAAAAAGGTAAGAAAAGCAAGAATATATGTTTGAATAAATGGAATAGAATTTTGATTTTGGATGGTTTGGAAACAACAGCAAGTTTCTTTGCCATTAAGCTTCTCATATGAAAGTAGAGTTAGATATCGATTTGATGTGGAATTAATTTAGAGCATTTTGATGCCCATATTCTTCATAATTAACTTTATAATATAAAGTCCACTTTCATCGATACCCACTAATCAAAATCCTCCCTTTCTTCTGAGAATACCAAATAACTAACACCAAATAAAGGTATATGAAGTGGAATATAAAGTGTTGTACTAAAGCTATGGAATAAAAGGACTACTTTTTACACTCCATACATACATACATACATGCATGCATTCTAATGAGATCATACTCGATCATCTTCAAATTAAACCAGAAATATATTGTTGAATTAATAGCCAAACAAAAAAAACTTCAACCCAGTAGCTCACTTTGGCCCTTGGCCACATCTAGAAGCACCAGTCAGAGGAATGGTGTTTTAAGAAGAAATAACGCAACACAGTGGGGGCACGGTGTGGAGTAGCCGCCACCTAATTCTCCCTTCAAAATCTCTCTCGTTTCATATATATTTACTCTAAACAACCTCAACCCACCTCTGTCCTTTACCCCTTTCCTCTCTGTCTGCTTCTCTATCCTCTCCTCTCCACAATGGCCTACGGCAGGCTCAACCAAACCGACCCTGGCGGCACTTCCTCTGACGCACCTTCCCAACTCTCCCACCATGCCGTTTCTCCCAACCCACGGAGAAGGCGGCTCATCCTTATCTCCCTCCTCTCTCTCATTCTCATCGTCGCTGCCGCTGTCTCTGCCACGTTTCTCGTCGGCCTCCGAACCGCCTCCTCGGTCCGATCCGACCCCAATCTCCCTCGAAAACCGACTCAGGCCATTTCCAAGGCCTGCAGCCGAACTCGCTTCCCGACTCTCTGTGTCAACTCGCTCCTCGATTTCCCTGGATCTCTGAACGCCAATGAACAGGATCTGGTCCACATTTCCTTTAACATGACTCTCCAGCACCTCAACAAAGCCCTCTACTTCTCCTCTGGAATCTCCTCTCTGCAAATGGATCTTCGCGTACGCTCCGCCTACGATGCCTGTCTTGAACTCCTCGACGACTCTGTCGACGCCCTTACCCGCTCCTTGCAGTCCGTCGCGCCCTCTTCCTCCAACGGCGGCCCTCAACGCCTTGGCTCCTCCGATGACGTCATCACCTGGCTCAGCGCTGCCCTTACCAATCAAGACACATGCACGGACGGATTCTCCCAACTCTCCGGCTCTGTCAAAGACCAAATGGCCGATAAACTCCACAATTTGTCCGAACTCGTCAGCAATTGCTTGGCACTGTTTTCCGGCAGTGTAACGAGCGATTTCTCCGGAGTGCCGATTCAGAACAAGCGCCGGTTGATGAACGCCGGCGAAAACGAGGATACTTCCGGTAGCTTCCCCGGCTGGATGAGTCGGAGAGAGAGGAGGTTACTGACGTTGCCGGTGGGGGCGTTACAGGCCGATATTGTGGTTTCTCAGAACGGAAGCGGAACGGTGAAGACGATCGCGGAAGCGATCAAAAAGGCGCCGCAGTACAGTAACAGAAGGACGATCATATACGTGATGGCAGGAAGGTAATTTATTAATTTCGCTGTTTTGATTTATTTATTTTAACTGAACCGCGTTTCGTTTGACTTGTCACTTGCGTGTCAATATCGTGATCTGTTTTCACGTGATTTGGAAAAAGCATGGCTCCATACGAATTTGGCTCATGGTGGATTTACGGAAATGCCCTTGATCGTCCTTTCTGGCAGGTACGAAGAGAAAAATCTGAAGGTGGGGAGGAAGAAATGTAACCTGATGTTTGTTGGGGATGGCAAGGGTAAAACTGTCATTTCCGGTGGTAAGAGCATCTTTGACAACGTCACAACCTTTCACACGGCGTCGTTTGGTAATAAATCTATTAATCTAACTTTCATTTATTTATTACACTTACTTTCTCTCTTTAATTTTAATTTTTAATTTTTGACCCTAATAATTTAAGAGGTTAGAATAATTCCTTGTTAAGATTATATAAAAAAAAACAACCCACGTGCTAATGTGCAGCTTTGATTGTACTCGCACGTGTTATTCCTAGGGATTTTCCCAAACTACCCTTCTATAATTGACTCAATTATGTCTATATTTTGAAAAAGAAAATAAAATGTGTGCGGGCAACAAGTGGTGGTCACAGTCATTTGCCACAATTTCCAATTATTTATCTAACTAATCACATACGTATATATATATATATATTGTTTATAATTCCCACTTTAAATTAATCCGTCCGTAATTTATTATTCTTCTCAAATATGGATTTTTCTTTTTGTTAAAAACACAGCGGCCACCGGCGCTGGTATAATCTTGAGGGACATGACATTTGAGAATTGGGCGGGGCCCGGCCGGCACCAGGCAGTTGCACTTCGAGTTGGCGGCGACCACGCAGTGGTGTACCGCTGCAACATAATTGGCTATCAAGACACTCTCTACGTCCATTCCAACCGCCAGTTCTACCGGGAGTGCGACATTTATGGGACGGTGGATTTCATCTTCGGCAATGCGGCGGTGGTGTTTCAGAACTGCAGCATCTACGCCCGAAAGGCAATGGACCTTCAAAAGAACACAATCACGGCCCAAAACCGGAAGGATCCCAATCAGAACACTGGAATTTCCATCCACGCGTGTCGGATTTTGGCCGCCTCCGATCTGGCGTCGTCCAATAGCAGCAACCCGACCTATTTGGGGCGTCCGTGGAAATTATATTCCAGAGTCGTGTTCATGCTATCGTACATAGGGAGCCACGTGCACCCACGCGGTTGGCTGGAGTGGAATGCCACGTTTGCGCTGGACACGCTGTATTATGGGGAGTATATGAATTACGGACCGGGTGGGGCGGTGGGCCAAAGGGTGACATGGCCTGGGTATCGGGTCATAACTTCCACGGTGGAGGCGAGTAAGTTCACGGTGGCGCAGTTCATTTACGGCTCGTCGTGGTTGCCGTCCACGGGAGTTGCATTCCTGGGAGGGCTAAATGTGTAATTTCGGCAATTGTATTATATAAGGTGGTAATGAAGAAAGAAGAAAAAGAAAAAAAGTGGGTAAATCCGCAAGGGGGGGGAAATGTCGGCATAAAATACGATATAATTAATAGTAGAGTTTTCCTTTTTCCATTTTTTAGTGAATGTATGGATAGTTCCATTCTTTTTTCATCTGAAGAAATTGTATTGTAATTTTTTATGATATTAATAACGCACTAATATTTTGCAATCTTTGTATTGTTATATTAGTAGATTATTGTTTCTTTTTATATAATTAGGAAATAGATATCAAATAATGTGAAAAGGTAAGTTTAGTATTACTTTAATTTTGAAGCACGAAAAAGTTCAGTATCACTTTTCTGAGATTTAGTATACTAACTTGAAAAGATAAGAGTCACAAAGTTACGTTAATATCCAAAGCTTGTTTGTTTTCATGTAGAAAGCTAATTCATAAAGAGGCAGGCAGGTAGGGTTATAAAAGTAATAGTGATGATAATAAATGGAAAATTGAAGAGGGAGTGAAGAGGGGGCGGTGGGAATAATTATGAAAATAGAAAGGGTGTCGGTGGGCAACCCCTGAATTAAGCTAAGCTATCTTCCGCTGCCACGCATTTATATATACATAAGAACATATGTGACAAGACACGCCCCAATATGAGTAGAGTTCAGCTGTAACGCTGAATTCATAAAAGTAAGTGGCAATCCCTTTTTTACCTTCCTTTTCAAAGGAGAACGGAAGGTCATGGGATTAGTTTCATAACCTGTCTTCTCTCTCCTCACCTAAAATGCAATGAAATTTCTTCCTTTTATTCATATCTTTGTTTCCATTACACCTTCACCCCCTTTCTTCCGCTTACTTCAACACTCAATCTAACTCCTCTGGTTAAGACTTCTATTAAGTTACTGTACTCCAGGTTCAGGCTACTCAGACTATGAATATGCATATACACTTCGCACTTCAATTATAATCAGCATCAAAGTTTCTTCGTTCTTATGCACAAAGTAATAATGCAACTCTATAATATGCCTAATTTAGATCTTCCTAAACGTACAGTTCAGAGAATACCTATTTCTTTTCTTCCCAAATCGCTCCAGACTTCACATATTGGTGGGGTATCTTTAAGCTATCGTCCCAGGCGTTCTTGTTCATATACTCTGAAAACCACCAAAAACTTGTCTACATATCTGAATCTTCGACTTCTGTAGTTGCTACAAAACTTGGGAATGCCGTGGTGATATCCCTGAATCCACGGAAGTAGTGTTTGTTAAACCATAATGGCGAAACAACAAAACTCCACAAATCATTTACATTCCAATATAGAACATTGCAACCTTCTCGTGGTTACCTACTTTAGGTATGGTAATGTCATGTTCTTGATCAATGATGGATACTTCATCACAAACTCCCTCCACTCTTCTTCATCGATCTTTCCATCGCCCTTCATGTCGGCTTCATTAAATGTCTGTACTAAAATACCAGAACCAGATGATTATTTTTTACAGCAAAAAAACAAAAACAATAAAAAATAAGGGGTACAGCATTGGGCAATGAAACACCTTTTCCACAATTGTTTCAATGACATCATCCGAAAGAATCAACTCTGATTCATGTAGAAGAGCCAAAACCATTTCCTTCAACTGTGAGAACAAAAAATGAGACCGTAAGTTTGGATGAAAGTCTTCAATATTTTTAGTGTTATTTATATCCAGTTGAAGTTGAAATTTACTCCAAATTGAACACAAAATGTTGCCTAGAAAATGGTTAATAAATACTATTGCCTTCAATAGAAGGATTCTGCAAAAGAAATAAAAAGACCACCTCTTGTTGCTCTATAAACCCTGTCTGCCTCAAATCGTATAGCCTAAAAGCAACTGCAAAGTAAAACATTATTATCAGCAAGGTACCTAAATTTTCTCGTCTTTCATTAATGAAAACAGGTAATCTACAGTACAACCTGAAAATAAAAATATCTGGAATAAGCTCTCACATGTAATTTTATCTTTAATAGAGGCATTAGGATGAAAGATGCCCAAGGATCTGACAAACTCCCCAAATTCAATAACCCCATTTCGTTTCAGGTCAAATAAATCGAAAATCTACATAAATAAAAGATTCACAGTTTCTTCAGCAGTGAGGAATCAAAGGCAGAGGTATATGGAGATTTGCAGCATAGAGAGTGTAAAGAAGCCAGCTACATACTCTGTCTGAAAAAAGATTTTTCATATTTCTATTTCTGAACAATGCGAGCTGAAATTCTTCCTGCGGATTAGATATGAATATTAGTATAGAATGTCACTGATACTCCCACTTAAATGCTATAGAGAGAAAACTCCAATCATATATCTTTTGGAAAGGCAAGCAACAGAAGTAACTTGCAATCAATTAACTCATACAACATACCCTATGGATCAGTCCATCGTTAATAATTGAACTGCTCAGTTTCTTAAAAAGCTCGTATAATGCCTCTACCTCGCTCACTGTAACTGCATCCAAAATACGCAAAAAATTAATAATGCCCTTCATACTTTATAAAGTAGACTGTGCTGGCAATGGCAATCTAAGGAAGCAAACTTGTAGTTTTCGGCAAGCCTTAGAAATGTGTTTGACATTATGAGACACTCAGATTCAAGTTGAAATGTGAGATGTTTAAACTGAGGTAGTAAGCTTGCTGGCAGAATCGTCGTAATGCACTATCTATCTACCTTCAAATAGAACACAATTTGAATGTATAAATGTTTATGAACCTGAAAGTAAGTCCTTGAGGACCCTGAAGGAGGACTGGAGCTAGCCTTAGGGTGAACCAAACCCCTCCAATTTAATAGAGATGGACCATGTTCATTATGCAAGGAATGATGCTTTTGGTACTCTGGATCTAAAATAGAAAATAGAAGCGTAATCCTAAACGCTTAAAAGTCAAACATAACCAAAAGAGCTCCCTCATGGCACAAATACTAAAGCTTACTTCATTTTCCCATTGAAGCAACCCCATTAAAAAATGAAGATCATGGCAGAGGCAGAGAAGTTCTATTAATTAGATAAAAGTAAGAGGGTCCTTTTGCTACTTACAAGGTGTTTCTGCAGCAAGAACAGTGGGCTCCTCGTACCCTGGAGATTTAGGTTTCTTTGAATAATAGCAGCCCATGACAAACTAGCATAGCATAAACCACTCAGAATCTTGCAGTCACCAAGCGAAAGAACTGTTTCGCCTATCAGCCAATAGAAAGCAGCTCCTTTTCATGCCTACAGTTGTGCAAGATTCGAGCACTTGAATTTGGTCTTAGTCAGACAACAAAAGTGTGCAAAACAAGCAGCAATTTGCACACCACTAAAAATCCAGAGTTCAAATTCACACCACAACAAACAAAAGAACAGTGAAAGAGAAGTTCATTAGCAAAAGGCCTAACTTCCCTTGCCCACAAAAATCCACCCATAAAAGCTGTGTTCAAGCATGTTGAAAGAAAAGAAAATGAAAGGACGCAACTTCTAAATAAACAAATCTGTAACTTCATTTTTTATTTCTGCATAAATTATTAAATAAACCATGGTTGATTCTGGATCGCATCTTGTGACCAACCCTTCGATTTTAAAGCGCTCAACTTTATCCTTTTCCCTTTGTCAGGTAGCTTGACGCAATGAAATCGACTTTTAGATCCTAAACTAACAAGAAGGGAAAGTGAACAAATCTTGCTTTCGTTTTACAACAAACAACTTTTCATACCAAAGCTTGCATATCTGCAATACCTCTTTTTTTGTCAATCTCAAAACCACTTGAAAATAAAAGTTACTACTCATATGTTCTATAAATATTGCGAACTCTATTCATCTTTGAGGTAGGGTCCTCCTCAAACCCCTAATAGAACTTCTACCAAATATAAATATATCAAAACTCATCCCACACAAGAATACAAATGTTATTTTTAGGAGTGAAAAGTCCCAAAAAAGATAATATACTTTATATCCCCTGATATAACCAAACATTATATATCTATATCTCTCTCTCTCTATATATATATATATAAACAAGAAGATATTTTTTTGTTTTTTGTGGTGGTAAGAGATAAACAGACATTTGAAGTTATCTCTAAGCAATTAATTCATTGGAAACATTATTGAAACTGAAAGGGCTAACTCTTCCATAAATTCCTAGTTGATTTGCAGGATACGCGCAGGAAATGTAGGAAATCGAAAGGAAAAGAACCCCATCTCACTTTTCTTCTTCTCTTGGACCGGGCAGAAGGGAATTTTTCACAATTCAAACCAAGAAATCTTCCATTTCATTTGAGAATAGCACAAGAAAACAACAATCCAGTGGGATAATGAAGAAAATAGAAATGAAGCTCTTCCAAAATCCCAATCCCTTCAAACGAACGCACTGTTTATTACTAAACGAAAGAACATGCATGGTTATAAAACGCAAAATCGATCGAGCAGAGTAGATGAGCTATTACAGAGATTCTGGAAAGGCTCCGGCGTCCGTTTCAATGCTTGCTTTCTCTCTTGCTATTTAGACAAATCAATACATGAATTTATCTCCGCCATCGAAATTGGGCTCAAGCTTTGCACGGTCCCCTCCTCTTTATAGGAACCGTCCACTTGATATTCCTCCATCTTCATCAATCACTCCACTTTTTAATGCAAAGTCAAGGTATTAAATTACTACTTTTTCACATTAATCTTTTTTAAACCTATTGACCTCTGTGTAAAATTATTTGCCTAAATTACCCTTTCAAACCTATTTTTTATTTGTACCCCTAAGTTTAAAAGATTAATTTACCAACCAAATTTTGGAGATATATAATATAGGAATACTTTAAAAATAAAAGATAAGATTGACGTGTGACTCACATTGTTTACCCTCTATTATAAATACTCTTCCATCCCGGAATAATATTTTATTAGGTGTCTTTGTAATATCTTTTTGATAGCTCTTAAGTGAGTAAATATGCATATTAACATGAAAGAACTCGACAAAGGGATATGCTACAAACCATGCACATGGGTATAGAATGGATCACACAAGTAAATATGCATATCTTGAAGAGCAATTGAAGGCTATCCACATAAAGAATGGTGAGTCAGTCGATGACTTTGTCACAGACAAAAATGAAAGATATTAGAGAACAATCGAATATATGTTTACTTCCCTTTTATCCCTAAAAATAAAAAATAAAAGAAATAGTTTGTTACCATTTTTATTCTTGAAAAATAAAAGTCAGTCGGTTTCCTCTTATCTTAGAGTGGCATTTATATTTATTATAAAAGAATGATATGGCCCATTGACCATGGCGTATGGCGACAAGTTTTGTAATTTGAGATTTAAATATTTGTGTGGGTGTAGAATATTGGGTAAGTAACAAAATAAATTAATAATTAACAATTTATTGTTTTGTTAATATTCTCCAAAAAATTTTAAAATATAAAATTCAATTGTAAAAGTTTTAATATAAAATTAACTTTTTAAACGTCACCCAATATAAAATTGTTTAAAATAAAACACACTTGCTTTAGAATTTATATAATTGAGTCATATCATCTTATCTTAAAGGCACTCTCTTTATTTATAAGAAGTATGATGTTTGATGAATGAAAAGATTCAAAAGGCAAATTATGATTTTGTGTTTATGAAGAAATTTGATTAGTCATTTTCTATTCTTAAATAATTGTTGTTATTTTTTAACTATACCTACCACATCATAAAACCTTTTCCCCTCTAAACGCAATTTTTTTTTATTATTGATAAATTTAACGTAGACTTTAAATATTTGTCGATTGAAAACTACTTTAGAAGGCAGTGTTTCTTTTTTAAAGAAAAAAAGTAAAGATGATAAACAACGTTGTCCACGTGTTTGAAAATATACGCATATATAATTGTTATATAATCCTTTTTAAATAAATCAAAGTCAATAACTTTCGGTTCTCCTATTAAGCAAAGAAATTCTATATAAAATTATATTTCAAAATTTAATTAAGAAAACTATAGAGATTTTTTTTTTTTAATAAAGGTTGAGATCTATCCTTTTCCCTTTCTTATCTTTGATAAAGGTTAAAAGAAACCTCCATTATTAAAAAAAGAGATCATATTTAAAGCTAACATATATATGCATGTGTATATAAATTCATGCTATAAGGTGCTAAAATGGGTTCTCAAAATAGGTTAATTTTACCATCAATTGTATTTATTAATATTTCGTACAAAGATTTTAATATTTAAATTTATGAATTTTTTATTTTATCTCTATTACATGCTAATAATTTTATTCAAAATCAATTTATTAGATAATTCTTAAATGATATAAACAATGTACCGCATTAATTATAAAATAATAAAATTAATATTATGTTTCAAAATTACAAGGTTGATATGTTTCTACATATAACAATACAAAATTAAATAATTGAAAGTTCATATCACCATTTTTTTTTGTAGAAAAAAATATGTGTTATAATATAGTCAACCATATACAAATAATAATTTGTTTTTATTCTCTTTTTTTTTTCCCCAAAAAAAAAAAAAAAAAANTCTTTTTTTTTTCCCCAAAAAAAAAAAAAAAAAGTCTCTTTCATCCACCTATTTTATTGCAAATGTGATGAATGGAAAGAGGCCAAATTAAAAATAGTAGAGTAATTAAAATTACACATTAATTGTCATTTTAATGAAATAATAGATAATAATGAAGTAGGTAAGATATGCAAAGTTGACAAGATTTTTCAATTTTTATTTTACTTTTTTGTAAATAATATGAGGAAATGAGGAATAATTATAAGCTATTTCCATATTGAGATTAAAATATTTTAATTTAAAAAAAGAATAAACTTTTTTTTAATGTTGCATTTGATTGATGAAGAGGAATTTTAATATGATGGATAATTTATATATTTAAATATTTAAAAATTAATCATTTAATTTTATAGTAAAAGTTAAATATTTTAATTTTGGTGCACAAGTAGACTTTTATTAAATATAGTAAACCATTAATATTAATTGTTATTGGAAGGAAATTGATAATAATTGAGGATACAATATATATATATATATATATATGACAAAGTTGACACTTTCCTTTGTAAATAATATGGACAACCATTTCAATTTCTTTTGTCAATCATTTTCTAAAATGGCAGGCCAAACTATTCACCTTTTTAATTTGTTGACTTTTTAATTTAATAAATAAGTTTGTTGGCATCATGTCAAAGATTTAATTGCTCTACCCAACATTTGAAAAAGTGTTACCATAAAAACGACTTTTCATTAACCATTTTAGAGAGCAATTTATATTTTGTTGCAAAATTTTTAATCTAAATTTAAGAGTACGTGTCTGGAATATAGAATTGTTGAACGTAGAGTTTTAAAATTATGTGTTTATGTTGGACGGTTTTTTTTTTAACATTTGTTATAAAAACACATCTAATTTAATAGATTGAAGATATTATTAAAAAACTAAAAATATACATTATTGAAATTTTTGAAAATTTAAAAATATTTTTAAACATAAAATTTAAAGATATTTTTATTAATTTAATATTTGAGTAAATAAATCGGGGAAAAAAATCTGGACCCACCAAACTTGAGTTGGGCTTGAGGTAGATTAAGAACCCAACTCAACTCAATGGCCCAATTACCACGATGGGCATTGTGGCCTTTTGAGCCGAAACGGGCCGACAAATAAAAAAAAGAAAAAAAAAATCCGTTCCCTAATTTTAAACCCTGTCTAACCCTTATCGTCACCAAAGAGGGCCAAAATCCCTAATTCCTCACCGTCTCTCTGTATTCCGGCGAAATTTGTCGATGGCATTATCGAAGCCGACTTTCTTCACACACCTCAGAACCCTAACCAGGTCCCAACATTTACTGCACCAGGCTCCGGCACCTCCCATCGTCACACTCCGATTTCTCTCCTTTGCATCACCGGAGGAAGCTGCTGCCGAACGACGCCGTCGAAAGCGCCGCCTCCGCATTGAGCCCCCGCTCTCTTCCTCCTCTGCCGCTCGCCCACAATCGCAGCCTTCTAAGCCTCAATCCCCACAAAACCCTAATGCCCCCAAACTCCCTGAGCATATCTCTGCTCTCTCTGGTAATCGTCTTAACCTCCACAACCGCATTCTTACTCTCATTCGTGAAAATGATCTTGAAGAGGCTGCGCTTTTCACCCGCCATTCCATTTACTCTAATTGTCGTCCCACGATCTTCACCGTCAATGCCGTTCTCAATGCACTGCTTCGTCAATCGAAATATTCCGATTTGCTTTCACTTCACCGGTTTATTACACAAGCTGGTGTTGCCCCCAATATAATCACTCACAATTTGATTTTTCAGACGTATTTGGATTGTCGTAAGCCGGATACGGCAATGGAACATTACAAGCAGTTGATCAATGATGCGCCTTTCAACCCGTCGCCGACGACTTACAGGATCTTGATTAAAGGGTTGGTAGATAATAACAAGTTGGAGAGGGCAATGGAGCTGAAAGAGGAAATGACTATGAAGGGTTTTGTTCCCGACCCTCTTATTTATCTTTATCTGATGGTGGGTTGTGTGAGAAGTTCGGATCCTGATGGAGTTTTTAAGCTTTTTGAAGAGTTGAAAGAGAAGTTGGGAGGGACTGTGGAAGATGGAGTTGTTTATGGGAGCCTGATGAAAGGGTACTTTATGAAAGAAATGGAGGAGGAAGCAATGAGGTGTTATGAGGAGACTGTGGGTGTTAATTCAGTGGTGAAGATGAGCGCCATTGCATACAATTCCGTGCTTGATGCATTATGCAAGAATGGGAAGTTTGGTGAGGCCTTGATGTTGTTTGATAGGATGACAAAGGAACACAGTCCCCCCAGGCGTCTGGCAGTGGACTTGGGAAGCTTTAATGTGATGGTTGATGGATACTGTATTGAAGGGAGGTTCAAAGATGCCATTGAAGTATTCGAGAAGATGGGTGATTATAGGTGTAGCCCAGATACATTATCATTCAATAATTTGATCGAACAATTATGTAATAATGGAATGTTGGCTGATGCTGAGGAGCTTTATGGAACAATGGGCGATAAGGGAGTTAACCCTGACGAGTTTACTTACGGTTTGTTGATGGATTCTTGCTTTAAAGCGAACAGGCCAGATGATGCAGCTGGATACTTTAGAAAAATGGTTGAGTCCGGACTTAGACCGAATATAGCAGTTTACAATAGATTAGTGGATGAGCTGGTTAAATTGGGGAAGATTAACGAGGCAAAGGCTTTCTTTGACTTGATGGTAAAGAAGTTAAAAATGGATGCCTCGAGCTATCAGTTTATAATGAAGGCGTTAAGTGAATCGGGGCAGCTGGATGAAATGCTAAATGTGGTTGATACTCTTCTGGATGATGATGGGATTGAATTTTCTGAAGAGTTGCAGGAGTTTGTCAGAGGTGAGCTGAGGAAGGAAGACAGGGAAGGAGATTTAGGTAAACTAATGGAAGAGAAAGAAAGAGTGAAAGCTGAAGCGAAGGCAAAGGAGGCTGAGGCAGCAGAGGCACAGAAAAGAAGTGCAAAAGCTGCGGTCTCTTCTTTACTGTCATCCAAGTTGTTTGGGAACAAGGAAGGTGAGAAAGAATCTGCAGTGAACGAAATGCAATCTGGTCAAGAAGAC